TCTAATATGTCCACCGTTTATGTGGCATGCACACATTGTTGATGTATTTTTTTAAATATATTAACATCACTATAGTGTGCATGTCACATAAGCGATGGACACATTGGCTCTGTTTGGAAGATAGCGGATTGAAGATAAATTAGCGGATTAGACTTAATTGAGAGGTTTGACCCGTCAAATTCGCTATTGGGCATGTTTGGTAAATAACTTATTTGATAAGCTTTTTGGGTCCAAAACTCTAATTTAGAAAAAGCTCATTAGAGGAGCTTTTTGGGGTTAGAGGATTCACAATTTACTATTTTAATTTGTAACTTTTTAATTTGTATTATTTATTTTACAATCTACATTGGTTTATGGTGATAATAAATAATAATATGTCATCCATATGATTAATTTATCTAGAAAAATATAAAATTCATAACTTCTTAATCAAGTGTTAGTAAATTTAAAAAAAAAATATTTATAAATTACCAACTTAAGAATATTACATGTTTTAATATATTATTAAAAGAATACACCATAAATAATAAAATATATTTATTGGTAATTTACAATGTTAAACAGCTATAAGCTTTCAGCTATTTACCAAACACTTATTTGAAAACCGTTAATGCAATCCGCTGGTCAAATCAGCTAATATAATCCGTTATCCGCTATCCGCTAATACAATCCGCTATCCGCTATCCGCTATCCGCTGATCGCCAAACAAGGCCATTAACATGTGCCCATCGTGAGTAGGTGAACATTATTCTATCTACACAAAACTAATCTACATGTATATATGTGGTAGAAACTACTGACGGAACTATTTCGTCAATAGAATTGTAGTATTTTCCTTGTCTATATATATTGTGCATTGGACGATATTATAAATTGTCTACATTGTGCATTTATTAATTTTATAATTGTGACATTTTTTTCCTATATATATAGTTTTAATTAGTTGACATTAAACACAGTTTATTTAATCACAATATTTTGACATTAAAATTGCAATTAGAATTTCAGCAATAACTATTTTCACAAGCATAACACTGCCTACAATTCCTCAATATATCCTTTTAAATGCCTTTTATATATATATATATACACACATATCCTTTACATCTCACGAGATACCTGTTAATTTTATTGCATCATAGGATTTTTGAGGAATTGGACATTTATTTGTTACTGTAGAAATCGAAAATCTAATACTACTAAGTGGTGCGATCGAGGTCGACTAATAGATTAGTCGAAGCATAACTTTGAATATCGTGGTTGACTCAGGGGCGTAGCCAGGATTTTTTTTAACCTGGGGATGCTAGCTATTATTGGAACCTTATAGACATGGTCATGGGCCGACCCAGCATGTCGG